TGAACTCACAGGATCCTCCTGCCTCTGCCTCCCGAGTGCTGGGATCAAAGGTGTGTGCCACCACCACCCAGCTGCATATCTTTCTTTAATCATGCAAGTGGATCTCTATGAGTTCAAGGCCAGCCTGGTCTACATAATGAGACAATTTCTCATTTTGTTACTTTTTATGTAAAGTTTTTTGCCTATGTACATGTTCTGTGTACCACATTCGTGCAGTAGCCTGGAACTGGCCTGGAACTGACCATTCTGCTGTGTCATGTTCCCAAGTGCAGCCACCACGCACGCCCAACATCTTCTTTTCCCAGACAAAGAAGCTAAAGGCACGAAGAATTAGTGCCGCAGCAGTAATGAGTAGGGAAGAAGCCATGCAAACTGACTTTTACACTAGCTCCTGCCCGCTGTGGAGACAACACACAGATGCCCAGAATTGCTTTCCCAGCCCCTACCTGTCAGCCTGCACCCTGCTGCCTGGCGAGTCCACAGGCTCCTCAGGAGGGGCCTCAGGAGATGTCCCCCTCTTCACCAGAGCCAACACACTCACTGTTGGGGGCAACCAGCTGGATGGTCTCCTAGAGGGAAGGATTTGTTCACTGAAGCCATACCACTCCAGAAAAAGAATCCAAGAATCCCCCCAACTGGCAATTTGGGGACTGGTCAGAGCTGAGGGCAGAGTGGGCAGCTCTAACACCTATGGACCCATCAGGGTCTACACAGGGTTAGAGTCGATAGCTAACTAAAGTCACTAGACAGTACTGAAGAGCCACCTGCCGCGTCAAGCTCTAGAATGTGTCAGGGGTTTTTCTTTGAGCTCTAAGGGCCAAGAGGTGAAATCAGGAACTTTATGTAACCACTAAATGTAACCATTTATGAATGTGACCATTAGAGCCCATAGCTATAAAAACCAACTGCCTACCTATTATCTAAAGGGTCATAAACGACTAACCAGGGCGCTCTGAAGGAACCAGGACAGAGAAGGGAAAATGTGCACATGCACCCATACCTGGACTTGAAGGCTCCCGTCTCAGTTTCTGAGGGGCCCCCAGGCACACCAAATAGCCGCCCCAACCACACGCTTTTGCCTGGTGTGGTTGGTTCTGTGCGTGGAGGCGTCTCCCGCGCACCCTCAGCAGTAGCTCCATGACGCCTGGGTCCCCAGCGGAGAAGAGGGAAGCCCTCAGTGCCGCCAGAGGCGTAGACCCGAGAAGCCTGGGTCAGCTGATCCCACCAGCTGCCTGGTGGAGGGCGGGTTGCCGGGGCGGAAGAGTCTGTAGTGACCTCTCCTGAAGTCCCTCGGAGACTCTGAGCTAAGCGGCCCCCCCACTGCAGCACGGCCTGCACAGTCTGCTGGAGGGCAGGAGGCGGCCCCAACGGGGCAGGAGCCTGCTGCAGGCCCAGAGGCAGGTGGTGGTGGTGCTCAAAAAGCAAGTCCAGGTGGAAGGTGAGCACCGACAGTGGCTGCAACAGAAGTAGCAGCTCTGTGGACAGGGATGGACAGCTACCACACGCCAGGGAGAAGAATCCAGTGGGCAGATATAGGAGGGAGAGTAGGCCTGGAAAAGAGCAGCCAGCTTCAGCCCCAGAGGACATCCTTCACCAATCCCAGAGTCAACAAACATCTCCCAGACCTCCCTCTATGTGGGAAGGGAAGAACAGAGGCCTGAGAGCCCTCTGCCCATGTGGACCCATTGCTTCCAGAGATGTCCAGTTAGTGTGGTTAGTGGAGAAACATTATAGGTTAAAAAGGGAAAAGACCAAGAGCCTGGGAACACACACAAAGATAAGGACCTCCCCCCTTTCAGGACAGGATAACAAACGGCCCTGGGCAAGGGAACCAGGAGGACCTCAAGTGGACAAAACCAAAGCCTGGGAAACCTGCGCCCTGATTCTCCGCCCTCTGGAAGAGCTTTGAACCTGGTTGTTTATTCTGACATCAGAAAGAACCGGCAGAAAAGAGCCCATCTTCTCCTAAGCTAAGGACACCATGCCCTCCCATCTGGGCTTCTGACCTGCGTCCTCCTGGAGGCTGGAAAACCACAGCTCCAACTGTTTGGTGCTGGAGGAAAAGGGAAAGGAGGTAAATTCAGGGAAGACGTGGGAATGAGGGATGATACTGCAGAGGGGAGGCACCCACTACTGTGTCCTGTCCATGAGGTGCTGGTGGCTCCAAGGCCAAAGAGCAATGGGAGAAGTCCACTCACTTGAGGAGCCCCAAGATGAAAGCGTGGAAGCGGCTGCGGCTGCTACTGAGCGGGGCCAGTCGGCTGACCTGGCTGTACAGGGATCCCATCGAATGTGTGCAGGAACCTGAGGACAGGGGCTGCGGTCAGTCAGGTCCAGGCCCTGCTCCCATCGGGTGCCACTCACTCACAGCTCACCTGGCTTCACAGATGCCTCCACCACACTCCAAGGGCTGCTCCTGCGCTGCCCAGTGATGAGGTCCTTCCGGAATGGCTTCAGTCCATCAGCCACCAGAGCATGGAGGGCCGGGCAGAGGGTGGTCAGCACCAGATGCCCCACATCCGGGCTCAGCCGACTATCCCCCAACTGGGCCTGGGATCAGCACAAAGCGAGCACGTCCAGAAGCATGGCGAGCCACTGCTTGCCAAGGGCGCCCTTTCACCTCCCTCAAAATAAACTCACCTTCTGAACCAAGTTCCGAGCAGCCCCAAAATGCGAGATAATTTTGTCCACTGAAGCACTGACAGCTATCAGGAGACCTGGGTGGTGATGGAAGACACATCAAAGCCCCTGGTCAGGGCAGGGGGGCGGGGGAGCGCAGATGGCTGAAGACCAGGAAGGAAGGGTGAACTACCTTTCTTTTGCTCCTGTAGCTGGCCAGTCCCACTCTGGGCTTCTGCCATCCACAGCCTCTGGGCCCCGGGAGCACCGGCAAACGACCAGGAACTGCGCACTGTGTAAGGGAAGAAGGACTCGATGACACTTCCTTACCAAAGCTTTGGGAGTCGGGGGAGAAAGAATACAACCCCTTGGGGCGTAGGGCGCAGTGTATAGTCTTAGGCAAACCCCAGCCCTCGCCACCCCCACCTCGGTTCCCATTGCCCTTCCTCTCCGGGAAGTCGGGGAGCCACACGGACCAGCTGGGCCTCCAAGTAGAGAGATGACTGGGTGAGGAGATCGAGGGCTGCACCCACTATGAGCACGTGGGAGCCTCGACCAATGGAAAGAGAGAGACAGACGGGAAAGGGTGGAGAGTCTTGAGGAACCCACGTATCACCTTGCACCTTGTCAGTGCAAGGCTCTAGCTTCACCCTACGTGGGGGCGGGATTCCTGGAGGAGCTGTGGCTAGAACCTCCTTGGAGGGGACAGTGGGTCAGAACCACCGCGGCCGAGAACTTCCCTAGCGGAGGAATTCCACCGAGGGTGTGACCCCAGATCCCTAACAATGGACCCCTTAAGGTTAGCTGGAGACCGGGTGCGGCCGGCTGTCCAGTGAGGAGAGCAGTCATGCTCCTCACCCCCAGAACGTGGAACAAGGCCAGCCTCCCCGGAACCGATGAGCCCGCTAGGAATCCGCCCCACTCCAAGGCCGAGATCTAGCCAGGCACCCTAGAAAAAGGCTCAAACGCAGGCTGGCCCAGGGCGGCCGGCGGAGCTGGCCCAGGTCCGTCTTACGTTGCCTGGGTGGAGGCGGTGGCCTTCTGGTCCAGCGAGGGGCGGTCGGAGGACGCGGTGGTGCTGGCAGCGGGGGGGCGGGAACCTGGCGGGGC